GTCATATCCCCTACCTCCCCATAACGTCCACCTCCTGACAATGGCTACTGTCCTGTCCCCAAGGTGGCCGTTGTGGGGAGGTTCGACTGTACTTTTAATAAAAGGACTGATTGGACTGAAAGGACGACAACCGAAATGAGACCCTTGAGTATGTTGCAATAGATATTTCTATTAACAAACATATGCCGATCTGGGGCATGGTTTGTTGGAGTTACTTGCCTGATTTTCTCTTTCCACAAAAATAAGATTTATGTTCGAGAAATAAATTTTCACAGATGTAGTAGAGCTACAAATAATATCACTGTCATGTGATAAAAATAGCGCTGGCTACACAGCCTGAGTTGGTTATATATCTACGTGTACCATCCCATATTCAACAAGCACTAGAGGAATAAATGTTTTATTACAAGTAGCCTTAAAATATCGGTAAACATTGTTAATTTTATTTTGAATGAAACACCAAAAGAAGGCATAGTGCACAATATTATTAGCTGTGTTACAACTGCCACTGAGCCAACCAAGACTGTGGAATTGCACTATTCATGATCAATGTTCCAGTTATTAATGATAATAAACACATTATTTTGCAATAAGACTAAAAGGCCATTACGTAAACTGAAATGTTCTTTCAAGTTTTGGCAACCTCCAAACTGAGAAGAATAATGATCAACATCGTAGCGGGATTGCCATAATTATAGGAAATTATTCCCGCAAAGGCACAAGCATAGTTTCATATGATCCGATAATTGTGATATACGTTCATATAGTAGTGCATCATTAAATTCACTAATAGGTTCCTCGTATAAGCACATACACAGGTACAAGTGGACCTCTCTGAATGGAATTACGAAACAGATTACTCATGTGGTTATAAATGGTTTGTAAGGAATGCTAGAACACTTGAAGTCTGCTAAGAGTTCCAACTGCAGCTACAGAACAAAAGTTGCTATTAATAGCTATTTGCATGACTGTGGCTGAAATAACAAGATCTGGAGCAGGTCATGGGAAAAATGTCAGAAAGTGGCACACAGTGAAAGAGCACAGACGACTGTCCTCGGAAAGAAGACTTATGGTGGATTGGTGCAGTAAAGATGCTGCAAAATTACATATTCTGCTGGTTTGTGCCGACGAGCCATTGTCTGAAGGATGAATGGAATATCAAAACGGAATGAACACTTGAAGTTTTCTGAGGGAAGATAAAAAAGAGCGGACTGAGAGGATTGTTAGAGGATCAGAAAAGTCTAAGCGTGAGTATTTGGAAAGTGTGTACGGTGTAACGAAGAAGCTTTGTAAATCAGAAAAGAAGGAAGGGTATGGTGAGAGGCCACAATAGAAAAGAACTAATGATCAATCGGAACATGGACAGAGCATCAGGCTCTTCTGAATCTGTAAACCTGGATCAGCCAATCTATTGATGTTGGGAGTGAACTGCGTAAAAGAGTCGGATACATCGGTGACGAATGTACTAACGGGGAAGAAGTTATAAAAATAGCTTTGACTGAATTCAATAAGAATCCCACGCTGGGCAGCTTATAAATGAATACTACTGATGAAGCACATCACGATGGTTGCAGATTTACAGATGTGTGTAGGGAATTAATTTGTAGGTGTTAAGATGAAGAGAACATCCTGGACGTTTACAGTTGTGGACCGGATTGTCAAGCACCCTAACAAAGACGACATGGCTCATCAGTGTTGACTGAGTGACCTCATGGTCTTGGCCGTATGGTAACGTTCTGCACTAAAGCGGAGATTATGGAGAAATTTATAACATCTAGGTCCACGAGCTTCAGTGGATGAAGTGTCGTATGTTTTCATACGCGTAACTGAAGCTATTTTTGCTCTCCAAAAAAACCATCAGACATTCGTTCAATTCATAGAACAACTAAGTCTTACGAGTTTGCCATGAAGTCAAGATCCAATAAAACCTGTGTGCTATCAAAAATTCTTCTTTCCTTCCTTAACTACTGGGTTATTCGTAAGATGGTGTAGAAAGTCAAGAGAACATCTTTTCTTGAAGAAGTATAACTAGGTTACGTTGAAAAACTATAAGGCAGTTAGAAGAAGTTGATAAAACAACAACAACAAACAGCAAAAGATTTGCATCAAGTGATGTAGAAGGAAACTGGGGGAGAAAGGTGGAGACCGGAGAGTGTTTTCTGGCCCTGCTCCTCACTGAGAGAGAAAGCACTGCGCTAAAGA